ATATCATGCAACTAGCTTTATGGTTGTTTCCACAAAGAAGTACTTTTCTCCCCATTCTTCATTGAAAAGGCGACACTCAGCATCTACTTTTCTTTTCTTTGTAGCCATAACGATGGGTGAAGAAAACAGGATCTGAAAATGAAAAACAATTGTTTATTTACTCATTGAATAGTCTACCAAAAAGTTTTAGATAAATAATAATTTTTCAAAATTTTTTTGACATGTATATAAACATGACAAACTAAATGTAAATAGTTCATGACATTAAATTATGTTATTACGTAATTGGTTTAATTTGGATAGCATGTAAAATGAAGGGGGAATAAGTTGTACGCTAACTTTAATTTATTGCTCCAAAGCCTCCTATAGAGAAACGGTTTATAGAGCCATCACATAGAATATCAATGTTGGTGGAAGAAGTTGTTGGAAAGGGTATGTACTTATTTGAGTGTTGAAAGAGCTCACAAGAGGTAAGCATCTAATATTTTCAAACTTTGATATTTATTTAAGCCCTATATTTTAATCGCTATACACTCAAAAAACGACTTAATTAAATTAACGAAGATTTTAATTAAATTAGTATCAAATTCTTAATACTATATTTGCCTATTAAGATTCTTAATATTTTTATGAAATATGATCTTAATTATTTTTTATGAAGCTCTTCTAATTAACTTACATAATAAATTTTAAATACATTGGCAAATTATAAAAATTGCTTAATCAAATAACTTATTGGGAAAAAACTTTTCGTTTCAAACACTATTGGTCTGTTGAATATATTTGAAAACCATAATTTCACCTCAGTCGTCACTACTTCTTCATTTACGTCAATCTTGCGTTTCTGTAGTTGACGTATCGTTACACATTTTTCTTTACTTTCATTCAAGTTCTTAGAGATGCAAGAATAAACAAAATTCATGCAGCACTATTAACAGACATCTTTCGTGGATTTCTGCTTTAAGTTATTCAAATGGCTCCTTGGGAAATCCTCTGTATGATGGAAACCTTCAACATCCACTAATAGTAATACTTACAGAGAGGGCTATCATTACCATTACATCGACAGTACGAGAGGACTGGAATTAACATTGCAATTACAAAAAACTTTGGGAAAGAGACAATTATGGAGGTTGTGGCCATAAATAAAAGATGATTATTCAATACTACAATGATTTTGGCTGTAAATCCACATTAAACATACAAAATTTGAAAGCAATAAGAAACCCACAAAATTAACAGATTCCATAACTACTAACTAAATAACAAGTAAATGTAAATAGTTTTCTCCTTATCAGCCCCTATTTAACCTGAGATGGAATAAAATAGTCAAGCAAAATAACGTCTAGTTATTATATATACATTTTTTGGTAACTCAACTGTTGAATGAAATATACGATATAAGCATTGAAAACGGATTTCTGTTAACTCAATAAATATTAACACAAGTTTTGAAATAGTTAAACAGATTTAACCATACACTCTTGGTTAAACGTCAATGTGGAAAACGGTTCAAGTAATCTGTTCTTCAGCAAAGTACCTAACATAATTTCCTGGTTCAACATCTCACTGCTACTGAATAATAATCCTAAATTAATATTTTTGATATTGCTAATTATAAAAAAAAACATATTGCATTGGTTTTCTCTTCCCAAGTTAGGCTAAAACAACTAAAAAATTTTCCCCATAAATAGCTTCAAAAATATTCTTAATCCCATTTCTTGATCTCATGTATTTGTTATTGCTATTCTTCTCTTTCACAGAAGCTCATAAAAATGTTTATATGAGACTTAGACAAACCAAATTTGTTCTCCTGAAGGAGAATAGATAACTATTCGAAAGCGCTTGAGTTTTGGGTCCTTTTTTGAAATTCATTGCACCTTTTGTGTCTGATCCTATGCGCTCTTTTATCAGAATTCATTTTTGGTAAATTATTAAAAGTTCATTTTCTAAACATACTTTTCATAGAAAGCGGTATATTGCTATTTATCTGTTAAGTTTTTTTAACTGGTTTAAATGCAAATATTATTTGCTTATACGCCAACTTTTACAAAATCAAACAATTATCAACCTTAAAATGCTAGAGAAGATAAAATTCATATTTTGATTAACGTCTAAACATACATATACTGAATTATATATTTTTTGTATAAAGTATACTTAGATTTCTCCAACGAACTATATTTTTACAGTAGTTTCCTTAATAATAACAGCAGCTTGACTAAGAAAGGAGAAACCTACATTAGATGCAGTTGTTTTATGCTGGAAGGAAACATGCTTCGTAAAATAGTCTTAATCTTGTTTCCAGAAAGGTTAAGTGTATGAAGTTGATTTAACGTGGATAGAGCAGAATCCCCAATCCACCACACGTCAGAATTTTTGATAGTTAGTTCCTGGATATTTGTTTTGGTTAGGTCACTGAAGGTATTAGGGATAAAAACAAAGGAACACTCGCTTATTATCAGGGTACGTAACGTTTTGAGTGGGGAAAACAAAGTCCAGTCCCAGCTATTGAGAGATTTCACTTCTCGCAATTCAACTTGTGTGATAATCCCAATTATGCCCATGAATGGCGATATACCGGATACTGGTGACGTAAGAAAGGGTAAATCTGTCTTTTCCACTATGATGTGTTGAAAGTCGCTATAGTTGAATAGGCTAGAAGGTAGAGCAGGTATATTAGAGTTAGTGAGAAAAAACTTTTTCAGATCGAGTTGTTTCACTTCTTGTAAAGCATTCTGTAAGTCTTGAGGTGCAGTAATGCTGTCACAGGTCATTTCGTTTTCGAGACACGTGCAAGGAGCAATGTCAAGGTCGGTCGGACATTGTCCAGCAACAAGTGGAAGGAAAAAAACAACGACTAAACTTCGTAAAAAGGAGTTCTCCAGGGTATGAATCGATACTTTCATTATTAATCTCGCTTTCAAAAATACAGTCGTATTTCAAATTATAATATATTGTTCACAAGACGAATAAAAATAGAAAGAAGAGCGTCTCATAACTATACGACCATTTTACCAATATGGAAGATATGTAACTTTTATATCAAACTCTTGTATCGTGGTGCGCAAGAAGATTGTTTTCAACGAATATCATAAAGTCATCAGGATTAAAACCTTATCGCGTATTATCGCTCAATGTGTACAGTAACTCCTATTCGTTTTATCTGTAGTTTTTATCACAAATAGCTCTTGATTAATCTATCGACACAGCGCATTACGCGCACGTTATCGGATCCTTAAAAAAAAAAAAAAGGTGACAGCAACTGTTAATCACTGTGCAATATTGCATGCTCGTTATCATGTGTTTCGAAAGTGTAGTTTGAAAAATAAACCTTATATTATATCATAAAACTGAATATTTACTTTTGAATGTTTGAAGTATTTGATTGGGGTGTATTACGACAAGTTTTGCCATTGTACAGAGGATTGAGTACGTTATATTAAAACGATTTTAGAGTATCACCTTGTTTCTACAGTTCATGTCGTCATGCTCAAAATGACGACCGTGCTATATGACAATAGCCTTTTAGCGTAGTTCCATTACTAAAGGCTCCGTCATAAATTTGCCTTGTAAAATTGCAAGGAATTTCTTAAATTGTTTGTTTGTTTTTAATTATGCACAAAGCTACACAAGGGCTATCTATTCTCTGCCCACCACAGGTATCGAAA